CTTGGGCAACAAGGCGAGCTTTGTGGCATACCATGTTTCCCGCAGTGCCTTTCTTCGCATGGAAGACCCATTTAGAGCCTATGAGGTTAGCGCCTGCAGGTAAGTCTACAAGTTCCCATGTCCCTGCTGTTCGCAGAGTTGCTAACTCTTCTCTTATACCTTCTTCCCATTGCGCCTAGTCTGGACGGCGCTTTGCCTCAGCTTAAGTGCTTGGTTTGAGGGCCTCTGCCTCTGTGATCTTCTCCCCAATTGCCATGGCATGATCAAGAGAGCAAAGTTCATCATCCGAATCTTCAAGTATGGCCATGAGCTGTTCTACAGCGTTCTCTCCCTTGTTCACTGCTTCTTTGACGGTTGGAGGTGGGATATTCAGTAGTTGGATACCTCTAGGTACAGTACCTGTTTCCTTCATTATGTTGAGTACATGCTGACTTGGTTTTCGGACTTGTTTAGCAACCATATTGAGAATGGGAGAAGGTGCGAGGATGGGGATCTTGGAGGGAGGGGGTACTAGTGGAGTTTGTGGGGCTGATGCTGGCATGCTGGGTGGTACTGTGGGGTTCTGTGATGTGGGTGTTATCATTGTGTTAGGTATGTTATCACTTTCCTCTCCCTCACAATGTAATGGCTCCACATCGGATGGGTCCCAATAAACATTCTGTTCCACAGATACCGAGTGCTTGGCAGGCCAATACACCCTGCACCCATTCGCACTCCCATCATCAATGCCTACCCATTGATCTTCAGCAACTCTGCCACCAAGTTTGCTACCATTCTCAATGTGCACCCAGACATGGGATCCCCAGGGACGGATACGACAGAGATCAGGCTTCTTTCCAGTGGCTGCCTCAAGGGGAGTACCACCTTCAAGTGCCTTGGTGGGGGTACGGTTTTTCAACCAAATGGCATGTTGAACAGCTTCTCCCCACAAGTTGCGCAGGAGTCCACTTTCATGCAACATTGCTCGAACCTTCACTAGTAGAGTTTGATTAAGCCTCTCGGCTACCCCGTTATGCTGTGGGGTGTCATGCATGGTGAGTTTCTGCTGAGTTCCAGCAGCCTTGAGATGGTTCACAAACTCCTTGCCTAGGTATTCCCCACCCTGGTCTGAGTGTAGGACCTTAACATTAGCATTGTGCTGGTTGCGATGTGACAATCATATTTTCGCTGGGCTTGTATGAAGCCACTATGCAATTTGCATCCATACCCCATGTTGTCCGACTCACCCCTAGTCATCCCCAATGCAACCCGACATCTCCGACGCAACCCAATGATCGCACCCGCTCAGATACCCTGCGGACTCATCCTACCTATGTCCAGTCCAGTCGCACTTTACCCCACTACGTGCACAGTCATTTAATTCCTTATTACTGATGCGGTAGACAGCGCTATTACATGTATTCCCACTGGCCGCAGCACCTCATGGCCTTTTACATATTTCATCAGACCCAATGATGTGCTACTACTTTCGCCTACAGTACTCTGGACTTTCACGTAGCTAGTTAAATAGGACTTAGTAGGAGATCGCACTTTACCACTCTGTAGATGGGAGAAATTCCCTGATACTAGGTCACCTCACTCAGTCCCTATCCCCTATACCTGCTGAATCTATCTGATTTCCTCTCCTTATGATCTGAACCTCAGTCACTCATTATTGCTAAACATTCCCTTGTGTTTCCAATCCTAGTCCCACCCATCTCCTTCCCTTTCCCTCACTTTCCCGTCCTCCCCGATCCCCGAAACGTCGGACTCGGTATCCCCTATATCGGATTTTATCTCCTACCTTCGGACTCATCATTTCTACCTTCGGGTTCCACTCATTGCATAGTACTGACATATTTAGACTTAACTAGACAGCAGGCCCCTTTAGGGTCGAATGCTCTTGCTTGCAAGTGAAGCAGCTAGGCAGAGCTAAGACCTCATATACTGGCTAAGTACTTTTACAGGTATCTAGTCAGGTTGTGATTTCCACAGTGGTGTGGTGTTCAAGCTTGGGCTAGCCTCGCAGAAGCCCTTTTTCATATAGAGGTCAAACTATGCAGGAACTACTTTCCATACATCCTTCACCACTTCTCTACCATTGCCAATTTAGGCCAAAACCTTCGGCCGAGGCATCAGTCGCATTTCCCGCGCCTTCATCGGCCGACCTGACCGCAGTCCAACGCATTCCCACGCCCTGCATGCTTTAGGATGGTCAGTGATAGACAAAAGCACTCCCTGCCACATTTCCCTTGCATATCCATCCATGTCCGACATTTTGCACAGCCGCATCGGCCGTTCCTGCATACCCGAGCCTATTCCTGCGCGTCCAGACCATTCCCGCGCATTCTGATCACCTTTGGCCGAGTTCCCACGCCTTCGGACTGCTCAGAAACCATTTTAGGAAAGCCCCGTGTCAATTCCATGTCCATCCAAACTCCACTGGTGTGTGTTTTTACTTGCCTCGTGTTGTAACAAGGGTTTCAGCCTTATTACATGTTCTTACATATTTCCACTATTCCTGTCCCTTCCGAGTCCAAGAGGATTTAGCTAGTATAAAGAGCCTGTAGTGACTATTTCATCATTACTTCCCTTCAGTGGTATTTCCTTCCCTTTGGTTTTACTTTGAAGTAGTCACCCATTAGGTTCCGCTCTTAGCCCCTATTTGGTTACCTGATACTCGGACATCTTACCTAGTCTTTCCTTGACCTTGCAATTCAATCCCTTGAAACCTAGTCACTCCCTATCACTTTCCTTACTTGTCCACTTTGCATCAGCCGAGTTCTCGCGCTATTTCCATCCGCTTCAGCTGTTCCTGCGCTTCGGATACCTTCGGACCTGTTCCCAAGCATCCGGTCTACCCCTATCTACATTCCTGCGTCTTTACTTCCTATAGATTCATAGCCGTTCTCAGTAGCAGTCCCCTTTAGGGTCGAACATTCTTGCTTACAAGTGTAACAGCTAGGCAGAGCATAGACTCACATTTATTTGGCTAGTTTCCCCAAGGCTAACCATTTCTTGTCACCACAGCGGCACCAGGCTTTGAAGTCTCAATATGCACTGAGGGCTTTGCTCTTGCGATGTAGAAGGTGGAGGTATGTGAGTCTCGTCTTAATCATCTGTGAAGCTGATATAGTAGCTTCAGCCCCCTAGAGTAGCAACTGGTATGGGGCCCCACAAGTTGGTATGGACTTCACCTGCAAATTCTTTGGCACATTCTCCTTCACGGACCTTAGCTATGGGTTTCCGTGTTGCTTTTGAGTATATGCAGGATTCACAAAAGGTGGGTTCACCTGAAGATAGGTCGACTTTGATACCAGAAATGAGCCTGTTCTCAGCGAGGCGGCAAGCAGCAGATGGTGTAATATGCCCCATCCATTTGTGAAGTTCCATTACAGTAATGGTCTCCACTGTGGCATTTGCACTGTGGCTATCAGATGGATGGACAACTCGATATGATCTACACCCTGACTTAAGAATCTTTCCTACAACGTCATCTGTGGGGTCTCGAATGGTACAGGTGCCATCAGTGAAGGTGATGGAGTACCCGAGCTCGTCGAGGCAGCTGATTGAGATGAGAGTATAGCCGACAACAGGAGAGTAAAGAACTTCAGTGAGTGTCAATTTGGAGACATCAACACCATTCGGGACTTCAATAATGAGTTCCCCAATGCCAGTGGCATCAAAACATTGCTTGTTCACAGCAGCAAACATTTTCAGTGGAATGGGTGTCAAGGTTCTGAATTGGTCATGGTATGGGGAGATATGTTTCGTTGTACCAGAGTCATAGAGCTCGACAGTGGTGCCATTACCATGATCCTTAACGACTTCAGCGGCGATCTTGACGGATGAGTCAGTGTTGCTTCCACTGCTAGGGACTGCTATGTCAGTTTCCCAATCACTCATTAATGGTACATCATTTTTGTCTATGTCCGAGAACCAATTTTCATCAGTGCTGATGAAGTTTGTCCGTTCTTCGTTGTCGTCGTCTGATGATTTGGTGGAGAGCAGACTAGGGATTGAGTAGGAGGACTCGGTGTGGTGACAAGAAATGGTTAGCCTTGGGGAAACTAGCCAAATAAATGTGAGTCTATGCTCTGCCTAGCTGTTACACTTGTAAGCAAGAATGTTCGACCCTAAAGGGGACTGCTACTGAGAACGGCTATGAATCTATAGGAAGTAAAGACGCAGGAATGTAGATAGGGGTAGACCGGATGCTTGGGAACAGGTCCGAAGGTATCCGAAGCGCAGGAACAGCTGAAGCGGATGGAAATAGCGCGAGAACTCGGCTGATGCAAAGTGGACAAGTAAGGAAAGTGATAGGGAGTGACTAGGTTTCAAGGGATTGAATTGCAAGGTCAAGGAAAGACTAGGTAAGATGTCCGAGTATCAGGTAACCAAATAGGGGCTAAGAGCGGAACCTAATGGGTGACTACTTCAAAGTAAAACCAAAGGGAAGGAAATACCACTGAAGGGAAGTAATGATGAGAATAGTCACTACAGGCTCTTTATACTAGCTAAATCCTCTTGGACTCGGAAGGGACAGGAATAGTGGAAATATGTAAGAACATGTAATAAGGCTGAAACCCTTGTTACAACACGAGGCAAGTTAAAAACACACACCAGTGGAGTTTGGATGGACATGGAATTGACACGGGGCTTTCCTAAAATGGTTTCTGAGCAGTCCGAAGGCGTGGGAACTCGGCCAAAGGTGATCAGAATGCGCGGGAATGGTCTGGACGCGCAGGAATAGGCTCGGGTATGCAGGAACGGCCGATGCGGCTGTGCAAAATGTCGGACATGGATGGATATGCAAGGGAAATGTGGCAGGGAGTGCTTTTGTCTATCACTGACCATCCTAAAGCATGCAGGGCGTGGGAATGCGTTGGACTGCGGTCAGGTCGGCCGATGAAGGCGCGGGAAATGCGACTGATGCCTCGGCCGAAGGTTTTGGCCTAAATTGGCAATGGTAGAGAAGTGGTGAAGGATGTATGGAAAGTAGTTCCTGCATAGTTTGACCTCTATATGAAAAAGGGCTTCTGCGAGGCTAGCCCAAGCTTGAACACCACATCGGAATCGACTGTGAACACGGCATCATCCTCAGAATCATCATCAGCTGCATTAGCAGTGCCAGTAGTGCCAGTGTTACCTCTCGGTGTCTTCTCAGGCTCTGGGCATTTAGCTTTAAAATGCTCACGCGAGCCGCAGTTCCAACAGGGCAGGTGAGGTCTGTTGCCCCTGCCCCATCCCCCACGGTTAGACCCTCTGTGGCCTCCCCTGCCTCGATTGGATGACGAATCTGTAGCTGCCATAGCTTCATCGGTGCTTTGAGTTTTGGCACCTTGGTTACTGCGTGTCGTGCGAGCATCTTTTCTGCCATGATGTTCAGATTCCTTGATGATTATCGAGATTAAGATGTTTGGGGTCTATAGTCTGGGTTGGACTATAGAGTCAAGCTGTAGCAAGCTGTCCTGAGGCGAAGCCTGCAAGATGGTTGGGGAGAGATTGGGATTATAGTTGACTGGTAATCCTTCTCATCTATCTGAACTCCTACTGCTGACAACTCATCCCTCTTTGCATGCAGTTCATCGAGGAATGTGCGTACATCACCTCCGCCTGGACACTTCGACTCTGGGAAATTTGTCTGGAGATCTGTCTGCGCATAAGCACCCTTCTTGGTGTATTCACACACAATCTTGTTCCACATTGCGACAACATCAGGTAAGTTCCGTACACGTAACACAGTAGAGTTGGGGATACACTGGGTAAGCAAGTGTTTGGCGAGGTTTTTGTGTTTCTGCCATTGAGCGAGTGCTACAGGGTTGGGAGGTGATATGACAGTTGTTCCTCCGGTTGTTGTCAATGGGCCGATGGGCTTTGGGTTAGTCTTGTCGAACTGCTTCCATAGATCTTTCACTTCGACAGCAATCTGGAAGTGTAGCGAGAAGATTGCCCAGTTGGTTCCTTTGATATCAAGCTTGGGTACATTGGTGGGAAGAGTATCCATTGTGACGGGCACAGTAGTAGACATCATGTGTAGCAGCTTTCAGTAGTGAAACGTGAGACATGGGGTTAATTAGAGCTCAGGGCTCTGTTGGTGCCGACGACGTGAAGCGGAGAGTTAACATTTGGAATACGGTCTCTTTATATACTCTGGTTCAGTTGGTTCCTTCTTTCCTCAGTCTGTTTTATGGGACTGAGGGTACGTCCGATATTATAGTTCTCGCCCGCGCATATGCTGACGTGTACCCTAGTCTGACAGTGTTATCTAGGTACACGAATATAGTCCGTTTTATGGGACTGAGGTCTGACAGTGTTATCTAGATCTAAAAGGTTATGAGCCCTGGCTCTTGAACGAAGAGCCAGAACCACTAGATACCGTCGGATCACTAGAATCCCATCGAGCGCCTCCTCGGCGTTTTCTTCTCCATTGTCTCAGGGAACACTGGGCGTGGATTCTCATTGGCTGACGAGTGAGTCGCCGATACACAATGTTCGCACTGCGACACTTTGTTCCTTTTCCGGGACGCTTCTCTGAGGGATCCTCAGCGGGTATATATACTCGCATACCGCACGATTATCCCCCGCCATTTTTTCTCCCTCTTACTACCATTGTCTTCGAACATGCTGGCACATACACGCTCCAAATCCTCTGGGGTCGCCCCCGCAAACACACCGCCTATTGCTCTGAACGTCCCTACTCCAGTGTCTATTCCTCCTCAGAGTGCGACAGTGCCGCCCGGTCCCACTACACCTTATCTGTATGGTGGGGGTGTCTATCACTGCGTGTAAGATCTCGAAGACAGATCTTGATAAGATCGAACTCCTCGATAAGGCAAAGAATAACTGGACTTCCTGGTCAGAGTCAATGACGGAGATCTTCAATATGAACCTCCTTGAGGGATACACGTCGGGTACAGTTACTCGTCCCATTGCTCAACGCGAACCTGTAGCTGCCAGGAACTGGGACCTGAACAATGCTGGCATCGTCGCTGCCCTTCGTAATCGTGTCTCCCATGATGACAAACGCACCCTTGATGGAATTACTCTCGCTCATGTTGCTTGGAACGCTTTGCGTTCCCGCCACCAGAAACTGGGCCCCATTGCTCAGATTCTCAAAATCCAGGAGCTCCTCAATGTGCGTTACTCTAAGGCAACCAGCCTGTTGGAGACAAGCCATTGCCTGACCGAGGGTGTTCGCTCGATCTTCGACATGGGCATCCCCACGCAACAGGTCTTCTTGTCCATCATTATGCTCAACGCTCTCTCTGGGGACCTGTCTCATGTGCGTGACCAGGTTGCCAGCTCACTCGCTGGCAGCACTCTACTTCACCCATTCACACCTAATGATATCCGTACTCGCCTCGACATGGAGCAGCAACTCATTGACGCTGATAAGAACTGTGGCTCCACTGATGTCGCACTTGTCGCTCAGGGAGGGAGATCCAAGACCTGCCCCACCTGCAAGGGGCCCCTGCACAAGGGGCCTTGTTGCTCTCACTGCCTGCGTCGTGGCCATGGAGCCTCCGAATGTTTTGTGGAGGGTGGAAGTGCCTATGGACGCCGTGATGAGATCTTAGCCAGTAAATGAGCTGCGCGCGAGAAGAGAGATGCCACTACCAACAAACCAGATACCACCACTAAGAAACCAAACAACCAGGTGCCGAGTGCAAAGCCTACGCACCGCACCGATTCTTCTGGCAGGGCCTACCTTCTCGACAGCGCTACTGGAGAAGCCTTCTATCTCGCCACATCTTCCGCACCTACCCCTACCACCCCATCTGAGGAGTTTGTAGGACTCGCTCATGATCATATGACTACCGGATTCATCCGTGAGCTCAGTGAGGTGGACCTAGCTGAATGGGACACAATGTACATTGTGGAGGCCAATGTCGACTGGCGTGTCAACCAACGCCCTGTTGATTTTGTGGGGCTCACTGTTGACGCTCCCAACCAGACCGCTCGCACTCTGATCGATCTTCTGCTTACCCCGTTCTTCCTTGACAGTGGGGCTTCTGTCCACATTAGCCACAATGCCTCTGACTTTTATGAATTGCCACCGTCTGCCTCCCCGTCCTATTCGTGGTATTGGTGGTTCGCAGATTGAAGCTCTTGGCATTGACTCCATATGTCTACACATTGCAAAAGGGATGCACATCACCCTACGTCATGTTCTCTTTGTGCCAGCCGCTACTGTGCGACTCATCTCCGTCTCATCCCTCTGTGCAGATGGCCACTATGTTGCCCATTTTGATAAGACGTCCTGCTGGGTCACTGCTACCAACGGCAGTCACATTCTCTCTGGCTGCCTCACCTCTCGTCGTCTTTATCGTCTCCTTGGCGGCAGTATCACAGCTGAACATCGACGCTCTACATCTGCATCACCCATTGGCGCAGTTACCTCTGGCCCCGCTCAGTCTATGTATTCTTCTCCGTCGACTGGTGCCACCACGTCTGACACTGATCTACGCATGGCACCCATTGCCCCCGAAGCTACCCCTGGTCCCGCTCAGGCTATGTACTCCTCCCCGACACCTTCTGCGGGTGTCTGGCACAGGCGTCTAGCCCATGTGAACATTCGTGCAGTGTTTGATATGGCACGTTCTGGCCACGTCACCGGTATGCCTACCGATCTCTCTACTTTACCACCCAAGTGTGACCATTGCATTCTTGGGAAACAGACTCGCAATTCTGTGCCTAAAGTTAGGGAGGGTTCACGTGCTACTAGGAAACTGGGCATTGTACATGTAGATTTGATGGAGCACCCAGAGATTGTATCATCAGCAGGCAACAAGTATGTTATGGACATCATTGACGACCATTCTTCCTACATGTGGGCCATCCCCCTTGCCTCTAAGGACGCCGCCTTTCCAGCCTTACAAGCTTGGGAGCGAGCACATGAATTGGAAACTGGCCTACAGGTTGGAATCTACCACTCCGACAATGGTGAGTTGAAATCAATGGCTATGCGCGACTGGCTCCTCTCTCGTGGGACCCTGCATCAATTCACTGCACCCTATACATCAGCCCAAAATGGTCGTGTCGAACGTGTCCATCACATGCTAATGAGCCGTGCTCGCACTATGCGTCTTGCCTGTGGCCTCCCCCCCAATCGTTGGGATGAATTCATCGTCACATCCTGCTATCTCTCCAACCGTGTAGCTGTTAAATCACAGGAGGGACACACACCTTTCGAGCGGTGGTTTGACCGTAAGCCTGACCTCTCCAATTTACGTGAAATTGGATGCCATGCATTTGTCCTCATTCAGAACACACACAACCCCAAAGTATATGCTCGTTCGGTTGAGTGCGTCTTGATCGGCTATGCTACTGACTCAAAAGCCTATCGCTGTTACCACCGGCCCACGGGTAAAGTGTTTGTATCATACCACATGTCCTTCATCGAGTCCCATGAGGCAATGTCGCGATCACTTCGTGGAGTTCCCATTGATCCTCCCCCACCGACCCCTCCACCTTCACTAGATCCTGCAACTCCTGCCTCACCAACACCCCTTCCCATTCGTCGTTCATCTCACATCAGCCACCCCTCTGAATGTCAATGTGCTGCATCTGGCATCAAATATATACCTCCTGCAGCACGACGCCGTGCAATGCAACCCACCGTTACCGAAGTCCCCGATGAGGACGCTGCCCTTGTTGTTCCCCATGACACTAACGGTCTCTCAGCATCTGATTTCGCATCTCTTATTGATGCCTTTGCTGCAGCTGTGCCTGAGGACTCCAAACGAGAGTGCCCAGATGACCCAACCACTTATACAGAGGCCATGGCCTCCCCACACGCTACACAATGGCGCGCAGCACTTCAGGAGGAGTTCGACTCTCTCAAGCAGACAGGAACATATACCTTGGTCCCACGCTCCGAGGTACCCTCGTGGACGGCGGATTATGAAGGGATGCCCTGTTTTCAAAACTCAAACGTGATGAACATGGCACTCCCGTCTGTTTCAAAGCCTGATATGTCTGCCGTCATTTCACTGCTGTCTACGGTCAGGACTACACTAAGACTTCCTCGCCGACGGCACACCTGGAGTCCTTTCGTGTTCTAGCTCACCTTGGTGCTGCCCTGGATTGGGAAATCGAGCAACTCGATATTAAGACTGCCTTCCTCAATGGTTTGCTGGACCATGACGAGGGATGGGCTTTCATGGAACAGCCCTGGAAGGTTTCCGCCGAAACTGGAATGGGAGTACTGGGTCTGGCGCCCTGGAACGGGCCTGTACGGGATGAAACAGGGGCGGGACACATCTGGGAATTGAACTATGCCATGCCCGCTATGGCTGTCCTGGGGATTTACACGTCTCGCTTGTGAAACATGCGATGTAGTTTCCGGAAGGACAAGCGAGGTACCATTCCTCGCAGGCAGTAAAATTGTCGACGATTTTTTCACCGTAGGCAACAATAAGGCAAAAAGTCCTTAACCCATTTTCAAGGAACAACTGCGGTTTAAATGGCAAATCTCTGATCTTTGGCGATGCTCGTTTCTGCGTTGGCAATCTCAATTGAACGCGACCCGTACTGCCCGCACAATTCTCCTTATCACAAACGGCCCTAATCGATCAAGTCATTGAACAGTTCAACATGAAAGATGCCTACCCCGTTGCAACCCAAATGGAGCCCGGTCTCCATCTCTCTCATAAGGAGCACTCCCCCAAAACTGACACTGACCATGATCTCATGGCTAAATCCCATATCGCTCGCTTGTTGGGAAGCTCATGTATATCGCTATCGGGACACGCCCCAACATCACTTTCGCAGTTCAACAACTATGTAAATTTCTTGACAATTATGGTCACGCACACTGGGAAGCAGCAAAGCGTGTTGTCTGGTATCTGAAGGGCTCGCAAGATCTTAAACTCGTACTCGGCGGCACACAACCAATCCATTTGACTGGCTACACTGACAGCGACTATGTGAGTTGTGTTGATACAAGACGGTCAGTGGGTGGGTACTGCTTCACTCTCGGCAATGGCATGGTGTCCTGGTGCGCGCTGGTCCTGCATGATTTGGGAATCATGCATGGACATGACTACTAGGTATCCCCCTAAAAGACAAAGTCTGTTAGCTTAGTCCTCAGACTAGTCAACCCATACCTTGGTATCAAACCTTGGTCCAATAGTTTCAGTTTTCCCTCAGTGATTCATGAATCCACCATGTTTTGAAGAAAAGTCATATGTGAGATGGGAATCACATAATGACCTAGTTGATATGAGAAGCAAAATGAAGGTTAAGGTATTGCCTTTCATTTGGCTTATTCACTTTGGCTAGAGAAACCCATAGAGAAAAGTTCAAAGCCTAACAAAAACCTATCTAAAAAGCCCGCGTATTGTGTACTATTATTTGTTCCATTATTTCTGATTCGTTTTCTCTAGTGTTTCTTTACTTTACTTTTCTATTAGGATGCTCTGACTAATCAGATGCTTCATAAAATTGTACCTACAGGGTATGATGTCATAATGATGTCATAGGACTTCACCTACACTCCTGCAGGTATTTTGGTTGAAAGATATGATATCATAGTGATGTCATAATGATGTCATGTTCCATGGAATTTGCTAGAACATTCCAATGACTCCATAATGACTCAGAATGATGTCATTATCCCACCATGAATATTCTGGAATGTTCTTTTGCACCTGCTAGAACATTCTGCTCCAGTTTTTGGAATATTCTTTCTCACATTCTGAAGTCATTACATCACCTTTTTACTTACATACTATTCCCACACAAAATGTATATAAGGAGAGCCCATTCTCCCCCCAAAAAAATAGATCTCCCATTTGTTGCATTCAAGACCCTCCCTCTTGAGCAAATTGAACTCTCAACCTAAGAAGCTCAGTCTGAACAAATTGCTGCTTACAAAGCCCATTTCCTTTGTAAGAACTGTCCAGGCAAGTGCAGGGAAAGTGTTTCCCTTGAGATTACATAAGTTTCTCGCGATAGAAACCCAGTTTTGTGAGACCAGTGTTCTCACCACGTAGTGTTTACTGACCAACACGAGCTTTGGTCACTGTTGTTATTTGTGAGACCAGCGTTCTCACCAGGTATTTGTATACTGACCAACACGAGCTTTGGTCATTGCTGTATTTGTCATTGTTTTTTTTATTTGTCATTGTTGTTATTTGTGAGACCAGCGTTCTCACCAGGTATTTGTATATTGACCAACACGAGCTTTGGTACACGTAGTCACATTTGAGACCAGCTTCTCAACAGTTAACCGTATATTCAGGAAACCAGTTCAAGTGTCTAGACGGTATATCCTAGACAATCCCATAGTTTCAATCAGAGATAATAAAGCTCCGGCTAAGTTAATCTGACTGATTGGTTTAGCGAGCCTCCCAAGAACTCACACGTTATCTACCATGA